TTGGCAGACGTCCAGTGTGATCCAGTAGACGTCCAGTGTGACTTAGCAGACGTCCAGTGTGACTTAGCAGACGTCCAGTGTGACTTAGCAGACGTCCAGTGTGACTTAGCAGACGTCCAGTGTGACTTAGCAGACGTCCAGTGTGACTTAGCAGACGTCCAGTGTGACTTAGCAGACGTCCAGTGTGACTTAGCAGACATCCAGTGTGATCCAGCAGACGTCCAGTGTGACCCAGCAGACGTCTGTGTCACATGTCCACCACCTGCTGGACACAGCCTCGTGTCTGTGTCACATGTCCACCACCTGCTGGACACAGCCTCGTGTCTGTGTCACATGTCCACCACCTGCTGGACACAGCCTCGTGTCTGTGTCACATGTCCACCACCTGCTGGACACAGCCTCGTGTCTGTGTCACATGTCTACCACCTGCTGGACACAGCCTGGTCTCTGTGTCACATGTCCACCACCTGCTGGACACAGCCTCGTGTCTGTGTCACATGTCTACCACCTGCTGGACACAGCCTGGTCTCTGTGTCACATGTCTACCACCTGCTGGACACAGCCTGGTCTCTGTGTCACATGTCCACCACCTGCTGAACAGAGCCTGGTCTCTGTGTCACATGTCCACCACCTGCTGAACAGAGCCTGGTCTCTGTGTCACATGTCCACCACCTGCTGAACAGAGCCTGGTCTCTGTGTCACATGTCCACCACCTGCTGAACAGAGCCTGGTCTCTGTGTCACATGTCCACCACCTGCTGAACAGAGCCTGGTCTCTGTGTCACATGTCTGCCTCCTGCTGGACACAGCCTGGTCTCTGTGTCACACATTAATATTACCTTATATTTGATAAAATACTCATTTTGAGTGCACAGTGCCTGATAACACTGATGAAACGCCTTTGGGGCCGTCGGCCGCCTGCTCGACCTTAGCTTGAGGACAGGTTCCCTCCACTATTGACTAGACCCACAAGTGTCTCCCCTCACTTGTGGGCCTCGACTATTGACTAGACCCACAGGTGTCTCCCCTCACTTGAGGCCCTGGACTATTGACTAGACCCACAAGTGTCTCCCCTCACTTGAGGCCCTGGACTATTGACTAGACCCACAAGTGTCTCCCCTCACTTGAGGCCCTGGACTATTGACTAGACCCACAAGTGTCTCCCCTCACTTGAGGCCCTGGACTATTGACTAGACCCACAAGTGTCTCCCCTCACTTGAGGCCCTGGACTATTGACTAGACCACAAGTGTCTCCCCTCACTTGAGGCCCTGGACTATTGACTAGACCCACAAGTGTCTCCCCTCACTTGAGGCCCTGGACTATTGACTAGACCCACGAGTGTCTCCCCTCACTTGAGGGCCTCGACTATTGACTAGACCCACAAGTGTCTCCCCTCACTTGTGGGTCTAGTCAAAGGGGTTAATGTTACATCATTTCTTCACCTCTACATCAATCGTGACATCAACCAAAGCCTTAAATAAGTCCAGTTATTGTTGACATGAATCATAATGTCCACTGAAGTCGGGTGAAGTGAAGTGTGGAGGATGAGGCTGTACCAGGTGTAGTTATTATGGGTGTAGTTATTATGTGTTGCCTGCTGGAACTAATACAGGTACTTATTAGTTCCTTTATTGACTCATTAATTGACTGATATCTCAACGTTTATCGACTCATTAATTGACTGATATCTCAACGTTTATCGACTCATTAATTGACTGATATCTCAACGTTTCGGGTTACACAAAGAGGTAATTACTGATAATCTTATAGGCATGCTTGCTGCTGCCCTTTCCTGGGTGCTTGCTAGCTTTAGTAGTAATGGGAGGTGTCCCCGCGCTAATGGGAGGTGTCCCCGCGCTAATGGGAGGTGTCCCCTCGCTAATGGGAGGTGTCCCCTCGCTAATGGGAGGTGTCCCCTCGCTAATGGGAGGTGGTCCCCTCGCTAATGGGAGGTGTCCCCTCGCTAATGGGAGGTGTCCCCTCGCTAATGGGAGGTGTCCCGTCACTTATAGGAGGTGGTCCCCTTGCTAATGGGAGGTGTCCCCTTGCTAATGGGAGGTGTCCTCTCGCTAATGGGAGGTGTCCCCTTGCTAATGGGAGGTATTCCTTCACTAATGGGAGGTGTCTCCTCGCTAATGGGAGGTATTCCTTCACTAATGGGAGGTCACTTATAGGAGGTGGTCCCTTCACTAATGGGAGGTGTCCCCTTGCTAATGAGAGGTGTCCCCTCGCTAATGGGAGGTGTCCCTTGCTAATGGGAGGTGTCCTCTCGCTAATGGGAGGGTGTCCACTTGCTAATGGGAGGTATTCCTTCACTAATGGGAGGTGTCCCCTCGCTAATGGGAGGTATTCCTTCACTAATGGGAGGTGTCCCGTCACTTATAGGAGGTGGTCCCCTTGCTAATGGGAGGTGTCCCCTTGCTAATGAGAGGTGTCCCCTCGCTAATGGGAGGTGTCCCCTTGCTAATGGGAGGTATTCCTTCACTAATGGGAGGTGTCCCGTCACTTATAGGTGGTGTTCCCCTTGCTAATGGGAGGTGTCCCCTCACTAATGGGAGGTGTCCCCTCACTAATGGGAGGTATTCCTTCACTAATGGGAGGTGTCCCCTCACTAATGGGAGGTGTCCCCTCACTAATGGGAGGTGTCCCCTTCACTAATGGGAGGTGTCCCCTCACTAATGGGAGGTGTCCCCTTCACTAATGGGAGGTGTCACCTCGCTAATGGGAGGTGTCCCCTTGCTAATGGGAGGTGTCCCTTCACTAATGGGAAGTGTCCCCTTCACTAATGGGAGGTGTCCCCTTGCTAATGGGAGGTGTCCCTTCACTAATGGGAAGTTTCCCCTTCACTAATGGGAGGTGTCCCCTCACTAATGGGAGTTGTCCCCTCACTAATGGGAGTTGTCCCCTCACTAATGGGAGGTGTCCCCTCGCTAATGGGAGGTGTCCCCTTGCTAATGGGAGGTGTCCCTTCACTAATGGGAAGTGTCCCCTTCACTAATGGGAGGTGTCCCCTTGCTAATGGGAGGTGTCCCTTCACTAATGGGAGGTGTCCCTTCACTAATGGGAGGTGTCCCCCTTCACTAATGGGAGGTGTCCCCTTCACTAATGGGAGGTGTCCCCTCACTAATGGGAGGTGTCCCCTTCACTAATGGGAGGTGTCCCCTCACTAATGGGAGGTGTCCCCTCACTAATGGGAGGTGTCCCCCCTCAGGAGCGCTACCTACACCCGGCCGGCCAACAAGTCCCTCACCCCCCCTGAAGCTGCCGCCCCCCGCTACCCCCTCCACACTGCCCACCGCCGCCCGCGCTGGTCGTGGGCGCCATGGCGCACCAACTCTCAAACAGGTGAGTCACTCTGCTCCTCCAGGGCACACACTCAAGTGTGACTCATACTGGTGAGTCACGCGTGTAAGTCACCCCCTACAGGTGAGTCACACACAAGTATGACTCCCTGGCAGTCCTTCAGGCTTGGTGGGGAGAACATGGTTGGTGGGGAGAACATGCTTGCTATGGCTCATCTTCAAGACGTTTTCATGTGGTTTTGAAGTTCACTTAACTGGATAATCAGACCATAAATTCCCTGGAGCTCGAGCTCTTACCTGAATTTACCTGAGGATCACTATGTCTCGCTAGTGGCCTCGACGGGAACAGGAAGCCGGAGGGTTGTCAAAGGTTGTTTCCTCATTGTTCGCGAGTAACATTGTTATGGTCTGTGACAACCCACACTTCGCAAGGATCAAAATGTTCCATAATCCAGACATGTTCTGGATTATGGATGGTGTGATAATCCATAATCCCGTTCATAATCCATTCCTTCATGAACGAAACTCGCTGCACATGAGTCACAGCTAATTAAATCCAATCTTTTTTGAAGTCCTACGTTCACTTCCTGTGTTTGAAACACTCGTCTTTAAATGTTTCATCAACTTGCTTTAAATACAAATGATGGACAACATTAGCAAAACACTTAATCCTTAGTGCCATAGTGAGTGCCAGTAAAGGTGTGCCACTACGGGATCCTCCATAACAGCGTCCCGCTAAGTTTACTGTTGCCTGCTACTGTGCATGTGAATGGTTGTAGTTGGCCCGCTCTTCTTCTCTCAGGTATTTATCATTACCCTTGTCTCTCCAAAGCTAAAAATATTTATTTATTTCCAGGTCCGCCAGTCTCCACCAAGTCGTGTGATGACCTGCACCGCGTCAGCCCTCCTGTGGAGACTACCACCAGTAGGTCTGAGGGGTGCCTCCTCACGCTGCTGCTCACCCCGTCCCTCCTGCTCACGCCCCGCACAAGCACTCTTCCTCATTCCGGTTCCAAATACCGGTTGTGGCGCGGGTTTAGCCGTAGTGCCAGGGACGTTAGTGTGGGGCCTCTGTCCGGTCCTCCCAGACCCGCCGTCAGTGTGGCTGTCATGGAGAAGTTAACGCCTCGGGCAGCCCGGCCTGTGCGTCACAAGGCCAGCACGCTGCCATACTCTCCTGCATCAGGGCCACAACCCATGGGCCGAAGGCACCGTGGCCTGATGGCACTTCTGCGACGACTCAGCCCCAGATTGAAGCGGACGCCTTCACCAGACCGTCCCTGGGTGAAGGTTGAGCCACGACCAGCGGATCGCTTGTCAGTTGCCTCGGATCACAGCTTCGAGACGGCTTTACAGATGCGTTATCCAGACCTGGTGACGTATGGTGGAGGACCGGTCCAGAATAACAACACGCACAGTTCCTCTGACGCGGGACTGAACAAGAGCGAAGGGGGCCGTTGTAGTCGTGGAGTGTTAACAGGTCTCCTCAGCTCCCTGCGGCCGTCCAGGCCCGGACGACAGGACAAGAGCAGCTATAACAGCGTGGCCAGTGACAAGCATCGTGAGAGAGACACGGTGACCATCACGCGGGAGAGCGACCATCAGCTGCAGGAGCGCTACTACAGGGACTCTGGCGGCGACGGTGAGGGACAACACAACGGTGGGACGAGACCTTCCCACCTGCCACTCTCCTCTCAGGTGACTATAACACACACTCTGCCAGGTACATAACAGTTATTAATTCTGTATGTTGTTGTGTAGGGTGGGAGGTTGTGTAGGCGTGGCTGCGAGATGGTGTTGCGAGGCTAGGTATTCAATCACACACCCACGTGTGCACTCACGCACCCACGTGTGCACTCACGCACCCACGTGTGCACTCACACCCACGTGTGAACTCACACACCCACGTGTGCACTCACACACCCACGTGTGCACTCACACACCCACGTGTGCACTCACACACCCACGTGTGCACTCACACACCCACGTGTGCACTCACACCAGAGTAGGGGGGTTGACCACTTAGCGATGATTTTTTCTTTTGGGGAAACTCATCTCTGTCACACCAGATTTAACGAACTCCTAAAAGGCGCCGCTGTGTCACATGGTTTTAGGCGGAATTTGTTCAGAGTCCCCATACCATCGCTTTGTCTTAGCCTTTTGGTTAAAATCATATCTAGTCCATTTTCAGAAAATACGTTCATAGAAATTTTTTAAGGAATTCTTATGGAGAAAAAACTAAATATTTCCAGAGTTTTTGTCCTCGCGGCGGTCTTTAAGAGTTCTTATGGAGAAAAATAAACTCTACGGACACAAGCAGATATTTTTAAAAGATAATTCACAGTATCAGATATTAGTTCTTGGACCCGGCTCTGTGCGTTTATAAGTGTCGTGTTGCTACCAGGAGCACAATTTGACCCCAATTAAAAACGGTTATATTTCAGATGTGGTAAATGAGATAAAGGCAGTTACTTTTATCTCATTTATTTTACTTGGTTCAAGGTTCGATTCACTGGGGATCGAACCCGGAACCTCAGGACTACGAATCCTAAGCGCTCTCTGCTCAGCTGTCGGTCATTCCTTATTTGTTAGATGTTCTTACATGTTCTGCAAATGTTCACAGCATGTTCTCTTTACAACTTGTTACACGTTATTCATATTCATAGAACGTTTTTAGCATGTTCTTCACAAATTCTTTGTTCATTCTTCATATACTCTCTATATTCGCTTTGTTTTAATTTTCTGTGCAAGTTCATTTTTTGTTCCCCACATGTTCTGTGTTCATTGCATTCTCTTACGTGTTCTCTGCTTTGTTTCTTAAATCAATTATTTAATTATGTCTACCATTCAGTAAGTAGTTCATTGTTATGTATTATCAACAGCAATACTTTTTCTCAACAAATTTAGTTGCAAATTTGTTTAGTTACAAATTATTTATTACAAAGTATTTAGTCATTTTCCCGAGGTTAATTTGCAATTAAATTTGTTATTTATTTCTTTATCAACTTAATATTTCTTACCAACACTCTTCTTAAAAAAAAATACACTTTATGCAGTAAAAAATTTACTAAAACAATCTTTTTGTAACATTTCTTAACTAACATCACACTTCATTCAGCTAAAAACAGTCAAATGTAACTTCTTTGATTCATTTCTTAACTAAAATAACTTTTCGTTCTTTCGAAAATAGTCAAAGGATTCTTTCAACACTGTTCTTAACTAAAATCATTCTTCATGGAGTAAAACAAATAATCAAGTGTAACTTCTTTCAACACTTTCGTAACTAACATTGTACTTCATGGAGTAAGAAGTCAAAGGTAATTTCTTCATAATATTTCTAAAGTTACTCTCCGACCCATCTTTATGCATTAAATGATTCTCTCGTAACATCTTTACGCTCCAAAGATACGCTCTAAAACATCTTCCCACAGTTAAAGAATCTCTCTAAGTCATCTCCACACATTAAAAGGCATGTTCATTGCCCTCTTTATATAGGAAGGATACACTCAAAGCCATCAAAGTTATTCTCAGACATCAAAGTTATTCTCAGAGACATCAGAGTTATTCTTAGAGGCATCAAAGTTACACTCAAAGATATCAAGGTTATTCTTAGAGACATCAAAGTTATACTCAGAGACATCAGAGTTATTCTTAGAGGCATCAAAGTTATTCTCAGAGACATCAAAGTTATTCTCAGAGACATCAGAGTTATTCTTAGAGGCATCAAAGTTATTCTTAGAGATATCAAAGTTATTCTTAGAGACATCAAAGTTATTCTCAGAGACATCAGAGTTATTCTTAGAGGCATCAAAGTTATTCTTAGAGATATCAAAGTTATTCTTAGAGATATCAAAGTTATTCTTAGAGACATCAAAGTTATCCTCAGAGACATCAAAGTTATTCTCAGAGTCGTCACGGCTACACTAGGACACATCAAGAATACGTTCCAAGATAATTAACAAGTGTACTCTTTAACCTATACTCTTTATATGAAAGGAACTCTACGAACTTCTTAGTACATCAAATAAACTCACTGTGACAAACATTGGTCTTCATTCAATAAATAAGAAGTCACTAGTATCATTTTGTTAAATGATATTTAAAAATGATATTTAATGATATTTTTGTTAAACATATTTAAACTATAGCTTGTGTTAAACTTACTAAGACATTATATAGTCATAATCAACTTTAAGTTTTATGTCAAACTAAACCTGTGCAACTTTATGTGCTAATAAACTTATGCATCATGTAAAATGAGTAAAATAACTATCTTTTTATGTAGTAGAACCAGTTTCACTAAGATAGTTACAGTCAAAACTTGTTAATAACATTTAATATGTCACACAGCTCTATTATATCACTCACAAAAATATCTCAGTTCTCTGTAACATATTTATCATTTCTTATTTAAGTAACTTTAATTAATCAATAGGTTTTCTCTATCATATATATTAGTAAGGCAAACCTTTACCAGAAATATCTTGTAATGTAACTTGTTCATTCAATAACTTTTCCTAACTTTATATGTATGACAAAACTTTCTAGGAACTTAATACAAAGGTATTTAGATCAGCATGTTATCAGTATATTGCTATGTTCCATGTCTCTGATGATAATAACTCTATCACAAAACATAACTCTTTAAGTAACTAGTTCAACTTTTCGTAATAAACTTGTATTTCTAGTTATTAATTATTCTGATTAAAATGTATTATCTTATCCACTTTATCTTAAACTATCTCTGATCAACAATTCATCATCCTATCTATCCTGAACTAACCTCTTCTAAAGAAAGTTAACTATCTGCTCCTACATGATGTAACTTAACATAACATACACAAGAACAAATCCACAAGGGCCGTGATGAGGATTCGAACCTACGTCCGAGATCATCCCAGACGCTGCCTTAATCTACTGAGCTACAACATGGTCAAAAGAGTTGAAACCAGAAGTTGTACCTAACTTAGTTGTATTTCTCTCTGTGTGTATTAACATACACAAAGTAACCTCCTTTACATAACCTACCCTACCTGAGGTAACTTACATAACCTAACTTACTAACTTACGTAACATAACTTACTAACTTACGTAACATAACTTACTAACTTACGTAACATAACTTATTTAAAGCATCATCTTATTCTCTCTAAATCATCAACTCATGATTTATTATCCCAGACAACACTCTATCACCCTTACAGTTACAAACCAGAACTTACATATTACACAAATATGTATACAGACCTACATAAAATACCCATGATACATACACTTTTACATAAATTGCATAAATTCTTACACAAAATACATATTTCACAATCTTATTTACACACAATTATATTCACAAACTCGCAGAAACTTATATCAATTCATACAAAACACATACACTCTCATACACACTTGCAGATACACATACACATACAGATACATTTATAAACACGAATTTGCACATACAAACTCATCCTTATATATGAAACATATAGAAACATACACATGTATAATTATATTCACAAACTTATACAACTTAAGCAAATACTCACTTCACTCACACAAACAAACACAGACTTGCACATGCACACATACACTCAGTTCATTAACATACTTTCTCAAACTTTCACAAATTCTCTTATATATACAATTCTCTCAAACTTGCACAAAATTCATAAATGTAGTTAAACCTATAAATACATTTATGTACTAACACAGGTCATATGCACTCATAGACAAACTAGCTCTCGAAAACGCTTAGGCACTTTGAGAAACTCTTTCACATGTACTAATTTCAGAACATTACATTAAATGCGTATCTAACCATTGTAACTGTTCTTATCTTAACCTACCCAACTCTTATCACTATCTCCCTCTGATTGTTCTGCTTTCGATCTTTAATCTTTGTAAAGTGGTCTTAAGCATTTTTTCCTTACATAACAACTGTAACCTAATCTAATATACCCCCCCCCCCACCTAATCTCTGCTTATCTTATATTATCTCATATTTTCAAATAATTTATAGGAATGTCTATTTGCGACAATACATTTAACATCTTATCATTTATATATATATATAATATATTAATATATATATATATATATATATATATATATATATATATATATATATATATATATTATATATATGTATGTTTTTCTTCAGGTAATTCATGTTTATCAATCTGTGTTTCAAATACATTTCTTGCATGTCATAGGATTTTGTTAATGGTTAGGTGTTTAAGCATTATCAAGGGATATTGGTAACGACGGGTATTTACGTGTATCAAGGGGGGGGGGGATTTACTAAAGATGGGGTATTTAAGCATTTTCAACGAAATTTGCTGTATATAAACAAATCCACAAGGGCCGTGACGAGGATTCGAACCTGCGTCCGGGAGCATCCCAGACACTGCCTTAATCAACTGAGCTACGACAGGGTTAAAAAAGAGTTAAAACCGAAGTTCTACTGAACTTACTGGATCCCGTAGCCTCTCCGAGGCACAAACCAGGATTTTACACAACTCCCCCCTGCACTCGAGCTATGTCAATGACCGTTCTCCGTCTTCGCCTTTACATCATTACATATGATGTATGGGTTTCATTTGATGCATCACGTTAGTGTGATCTCTGTGTGTATTGCTGCATATATGTGTTTGTTTATTTTTAAGAGATTTTGTTAAAGATGGTTATTTATGCATTTCATG